GGGCCGCTGAGAAGCATCCCGAGGCCGGAAACGTCCGAGGACCTCCGGAAGCGCCCGAGAACATCCGTCGTACCGTCGGAGATCTGCGGCTGGCTCCCCCCCAGGATCGGCCCGGCGTTGTATGGCCCACGTCGGCATGCACCCGCGCGCGTCCGAGAACCGGGTTTAGGGTTTAGGGTTTAGGGTCTACAAGCTCTGCCGCAGCTGGTCCCCTCCTGCCTAGGAGCCCACCTGCGGTGGCTGCCAGTCCCACCCGCAAGCCCCTCTACCATAAAGATCATCTCTCCCCTCGTTGTAAGTGTACAACGAATGGGAGCGCTTGGGAGCGCCTGAAACATCATGGTACTGCGACACACGGCGCACGTGGTTGTGAGCGTTGTGAAACATAGGATTCTGCGACAGCGGCGCACGTGGTAAGGAAGGTCTCATAGGTGTATGAAGGCATGATCAGGAAATCGTATTTTTTGCAAGGGCTGGCGACGGTTTACGTCCGCGGACGCGCATTTGCATTGTGAATCGCACTGGATTGTGCACGCACGATCAGGAAATATTTGTTTGCAAGGGATGGCGAGGGTTTACGTCCGCGGACGCGCATTTGTAGTGTAATTCGCAATTGATTCTGCACGCATGATCAGGAAATCGTTTTTTTTTTTTTTTGCCAGGGATGTTGCCGGTTTACATGCTGGGGCGTATGTGCTCGTATGCGCCCGTATGTTAGCGTGTGTGCCAGCATTTTAGCGCATGTGCCATTTTTTTCCAGTGTTCAGGGCTTAGTAATCTTAATACATAAGAAGTAAGGGCCCACTAGCCTAAACTTGAAGCCTGTTGGACGTGTCCCACCCACCCATGGCCCAATACATATTGATCTCGAAACGACGACGACTATACCGATGACGAAGACGACGATCTTGATTTCAAAACGACGACGACGACAGTCGCGCAAAGTCTTCTGGGAAGCCGCTGTAACGGCGATGCGTCACGCGCGCGCGACGACGCGATTTGACGAACAACGTATGTTTACGAGAGTCCCTGTGCGTCGCAGGGACGCCGCCCAGCGGCGGTGAGATTGCAGGGAGTGGCTGCGCAACGAGCGCGGGATAGTTCGTTGCCTCGAGGAGACGGATCCCCAGTTCGCATCCTTAGCACGGCGGCGCGGTGCGCGAAAGCCGATGCAAAGGGCGATGCGACGCGCGCACGCGAAACGACAAAAACGAGTAGCTCCCCGCAGCAACTTACCGACGCCTTGGCGACGCATACCCCAGCTTGCAAGGATCTGCGTGAGGGGCGCGCCCTGCGATTTGCAAAAGCTCCCAGGACACTGTTCCTGGCACTCCGAGGGCACGGATCTGCGCGAGGGGTGTGCCCACATGGGGGGGGGCACGGAAGGGGCGGCGTAATGGCCTGAAGGCATTTTAGGATAGGCGCTCCCAGACGCTCCCAAGTGCGCCCAGAAGCGCTTAGAGCGCCCCACGCGTGTTTTTACGCGTCGGAGAACATCTAGGCCAGCTTCGAGGCGCCAAAGTCTCCGGGTTTAGGATGTTCGATTCTTCGAGGGCCAGGGGGAGTTTCATCATAGAATCGCGATTCCCCATCGTGGGGGAGGGGAGCACAAGGCTCCCATGTCGACCCAGTCTGGCAACCAGCTGAAACATCTCAGAGAAGCCCTGTCTCTCGTAGACGGCGACGGTGATGCGCGGTGGGTGGGCATATGCACAACGAGGTGCTTGGAAACTTAGGCGTCCGAGGACCGACGAAGAGGCACCCGACCATCGGCGGCGAGCCCCAGGGGGCGGCGAGAGGGGGCAGGCCCGCTCAGAGCGCGGCGGGGCTCCTCGGAAGCCCCCGCGCCTTCCGCGAGGCCTCGCGGGCCTTTTCCGAAGCCTTGCGCCGGGAGGGAAAAAACACACAGACACAAGTCATCGTCGATTCCCCAGAAAATATGGGACAATATGGGAGGCGGGGGGGAAGGCGGAACCCCCAAACATATGGGACACTATGTGGAATATTTAAATTTGCGTGTATTTATTGTGTGTCCCAGGGCCCCTTCAACGCAAGCGGCCTCCGAGCAGTCCCGCCGCCCTCCGAGAAGCCTCGATGGGCCTCGCCGAAGCCATGCCAGGCGGCGGCCGCGCAGCCCCCGCCGGCCTCCGAGAAGGCCGGCCGCCTCTCAGACTCCTCCCGGCTGGGTTCGCCGCCGAGGAAAAAATACGCCCGAGATCCGAGGGTGATCTGTGCCGGTGGATGGTGTGCTTGAAGGGCCCAGCGATAAACCGGGTCATCGGGCCCGCCCGCCCCTCCCCATCGACTACACGTAAGAGGGACCCTTCGCCGGGGTGGCCTTTGGCGCGGGCTCATCGGGCTCCCCCCGATCGCCGAGCGCGATGCGATATAAGCGGCCCGCGCCCTCGGGTTTGGCCCCCTCGCGCCCCCAAAGGCTGCGCACCAAAGGTCGCTTTTACCCAGGGCCACTCCTACGTCTAGCCGATCCTCGCCTCCCCATCGGACCCTGGCGGTTGCGCAGGCCCGCGGGGGCTACGCGGTGCTGGTGCGCGCAGGCACGCGTGGGGTTGCCCAGAGCGAACAGGTGAGGTTATCGGGCGCCCCTTCCCCCCCCCCCCACACACACACACAAACACACAGAATAACGCGGGTCACTGCCGAAGAATAATACTCAGAAACAATATCATGCCAGGCGGCGCGTTTTCTTGCTCGCCGCCGCGCCCCACCCCACCCCTGCGTGCGCCACCAGGCGCCGCGGTGTCCGCCGCTGCCGCGGCTGCCGCGGGCCGTCTGTGGCCGTGCGGTGCTGCGGGCGAGGGGTGGGGGTGGGGGGGAAGATGGAGGAGGAGGAGGAGGAGGAGGACGAGGACGAGGACGAGGACGAGGACGAGGACGAGGAAGACGAGGAAGACGAGGAGGAGGAGGAAGAAAAAGAAGGAGGCTGGGAGGAGGAGGAGGAGGAGGAGGAGGAGGAGGAGAGGAGGAGGAGGAGGAGGAGGAGGGAGGAGGAGGAGGAGGAGGAGGATCAGGAGGAGGAGGAGGAAAAAAGAGGAGGAGGGAATGGGGAATTCATGGTAGTTCTCCTTGATTTGTTGAAAGGCGCCACCGCCCTAAATTCGTCGAGGCAGAGCCCAAACGGCTATAACCATGCCCAAAACGACCACTCTGGCCAGCCGTGCTGCGGGCAGGGGGAGGGGAGGCAAGGGGAGGAGCAGGAGGAGGAGGAGCTGATTCGGAGTAGCTCTGCAGGTGGGGGACGGGGCCTTGGCCTGCCCTGACTTCGGATCCGCCGTACGCTGGCTGGTTTTGTTTCCCGACTTATACCTGTGTCGGACATGCACCCCGCACGGTGCAAAAAAGTAGGGCGGAGAGTTCCGCCTCAGAGAAATACAGTTGTTCCTTGCCCGAACGTGTGGCGGCAACAGCGACGGCAAAGTAGGGCGGGAATTTCCGCCCTACTCGCGAGATTCCCCAAAGTAGGCTGGATCCGAAGTCAAGGCGCACCTTCGAGTACGCGACTGCCGAAGTCGGCTGGTCAACGATCCTACGGCTTACCTGCGGCTCAAGTGGCGCGGAGTACCCCAGTGCCACGATGTGCACAATTGGCACACAGAAGGCTGGCCCGCGCACGGGTGAAAGGAATTGCAGACGAGATTTGCATCCACTTACAATTGCCACTTGGAAGACCGAAGCGCATACCGCGAACCGCTATCCTGAGCAGCCCTGGAAGCTGCACCACCCGCAGGAGGATGAATACGCACAAACCGACAACTACGCTGACGCCCGATTTGCGATCACCACACGGGGTGGGCATGGTTTACGGCCAACACGCGCACATAATTGACTTTGAGCTAATGAGGCCATCAGGTGGACCGATGCCAAGGCCGATCTTCCCAGTGTTGGGGCCACTCCGTCTCACCTCGGTCTCAACACCCCTCCTCTTCCTTCACCGTTGTCGTCGACGTCTTTCTCCTCCCCCTCTCCGGTCTCACGCCTTCACGGTTGCTGCACCCTGCAAGAGATAAGTTGACGGGGTTCAGGTTTGTTTCATCGAGGTGCGTCGAAGTCAGAACAACACGAGCTCCGAGCGATCCCAAGTAGAGGAAAGTGTTCGTAGTGGCATTGCTGTGCGTTGCTTAGCGTTGCTTGGCATTGCTTGGCGTTGCTGGGCGTTGCGTGGCGTTGCTTGGCGTTGCGTGGCGTTGATCTGTGTTGTTTGGCCTTGGCGTTGCTTCGCGTAGCTGTTTCATTGCTTGGCGTTGCGTTGCGTTGTTCAGCGTTGCCTGGCGTTGTTTTACAGTGCTTGGCGTTGCCTGGCGCTGCAAGGTAGCAAGGGAGCAAGCAAGCAACTCGGGAACTGCAGAAAGGAGCCAAGACCAAGCAACTGACACAATGCAGACGGGAATGAAGACCAAGCAACAGGCAGAAACTATGGGAACGTCCGGAAGGAAACAAGACCTAGCAACCCTGGGGAACGCTTGCTGGCCAGACTGGGCAAGGTCTTGTTCTATAGAAAACCAACAAACACCAGGGAACGCCTTTGTAAAAAATCACGACCAAGCAACCCTGGGGAATGCTGGCCGTCCAGGCTGGGTAATGCCTCATCAGGTAACAAGACCCCCGGGGAACGCCCTTCTGAGGAGGTAAGACCAAGCAACCCCGGAGAACGCAGGCCGGCCCGGCCCGGCACCCACCGGTTGTTCAAACATAAGTAAGCAGCAAGAATTTGTTAGGCAAAGCCCAATCGTGGAAAACGCACCTCGGGCTCACGCTCCCGAGACGCACGACTTGTGTTTGTCGACCTCGATGCCGATATGGCGTCAGCCCTGCCAGTTCGCAAATCGATCTGGCCTGGCCCCGCTGATGCCTGCCGACTCGATGCCGCTGCTGATTCTCAGACGGTGCTTGCCACACGATGTTCGGATCGATCTGACTCGACTTATCGACTCGATGCCACGGCCCCCTGCCCCCGGCCTCCGACCCACCCCCGGCTCGAACGCAGAGGGCAGGATACACCTGTCCGGCAGGCTCGACCGGCCCCGCAGAGGGAGGGGAAGGATACGCCTGTTCCTCTCCGCTGCGCGGGGATGCACGTCCGGGCCTCTTTCCTCGTCGCCTTGCCCGCGGCTCCTCCTTCCTCGGCTGCTTTCTCGCCCTCTCCTCGCCCTCCTCCTCCTCCTCCTCGCCCTCCGCTCGCCGTCCGCTCGCCCTCCTCCTCCTCCTCCTCCTCCTCCTCCTCCTCCTGATCTTTTTCCTCCTCCTCCGATTTTTCCTCCTCCTCTGCCTCGTCCTCCTCCTCCTCCTCCTCTTTTTCCTCCTCCTCCTCCTCCTCCTCCTCTGCCTCCTCCTCCTCCTCTGCCTCCTTCTCCTCCTCCTCCTCCTCCTCCTCCTCCTCCTCCTCCTCCTCCTCCTCCTCCTCCTCCTCCTCCTCCTCCTCCTCTCTTGCTAGGAGCGCACAATGGGCAAGGGACACGCGACGCCACGGCGCACAGACAGGCCGGCCCAAGCTTTGCCAGCTCAGCGCAGTGACAAGATGCTCCACGCCGAAGGGCCGCCTCGACAGAAGAAATGAGCAGACGCCCGCTCAGAGGCAGGAGGAGGTCCACCTGGGGCATTCCCCAAATGGCCTCGCCTTCGAGGATAGAATTGTGGAAGTCGATTCATGGAGAGGAAGCATGCTGCCAAATAAATTCCAGGTGCCTAAAAAATGTTTCAAACATGTTTTAGATATGCAAAAAAACATGGTTAGAGCATGTTCTACACATTTTAAACACATATAAAATTCAATGATCGGACTGTTCGGATGTCCATTGTCGTGGCATCCACAAGGATAGAAAGGGGTGTCGTCTCTTCCTCGGCGAAAGGTGGCGGAAGGGCGGCGGCATCAAAACGGGGCCGCCTCCGCTGGCGGAAGGGTGGCGGAAGTAGAAGGTGCACCCCCACGAGATGAAAACGTTTCTGGGCTCAGGGTTGCCGAAATCATGCGCTCTGAACTCCAGAGATGCTCGTGGGCTGTCTGGGGGCGTCTGAGACTCTTCTGGGCCTTGCTGGGGCGTCTCGGGGCCCTCAAGGGGCTTCGGGGGGCCTCCTCAGCGGGGCCATTCTGGGCCGTCTTGGCTGCCCCCTGGGCTGTTGTCTTCGGCCTCTCCGCAGCGCAACTGTCACCACTGGCGTGCGTTCAAGTTCTCCCTCTTGGACCCCTCTCGGGGCCATCATGGTCGCCTCCTGGGCCGTCTCGAAGCCCTTTTGGGCCGTCTTGGGGGCCTCTCGGCGTGATATGTGGGGCCACCTGCGCCGGCTTGGAGTGTCGGGAGCCCGGCGAGGCGAGAACCTTAACATCGTGGACAGCGAGATGAAAACCGAATACAAATGGCAGTTGAAAGCGGCGGCTCTGTCAGGGCCGAGTTCCCGTCTGAAAAAGCTAAACGGGGAAATAACACGCCGCGGGCGTGGACAGCGAGATGAAAGCCGAATACAGATGGCAGTTGAAAGCGGCGGCTCTGTCAGGGCCGAGTTCCCGTCCGGGGAAGCCAAACGGGGAAATACCACGCCGCGGGCGGGCAAGGGGAGTATTGGGAGAGCTGGAAGCGGAAACAAACACGATTGTTCCAAGTAGGCACTTGACCATGTTACTCAAACATCTGCTCGCGACATACAATCAGACAGACAACAATGGAGCGGAGCACATACAGAGGACATCATAATACGTGAGAGCCCATAGCGGACGACATCCAAGCGCTTGACTGGCCGAGATCCGGCACCCCACCGACAAAGCCAGTCAAGCGCGATTCGCGCTGTCGCGCGGGCGGTGCAGCAACTTAGCGTCTCCGTCAACCGCACTCTCTATCCAAGCTCCCCCCCGAACGAACTTCTTGAGATCCGGTAGGAAGGGGGGCAGGGGAAATCTCACACGCCTGATGTCCAGGAGCAGCGAGCAGCATAAAAACAGAAATGTTCGGAGCTGCGCGCGGATTTCTTGAATCTGCGCTGGGCCCCCCCTGGCGGCGCCTCCAGCGCCGCCCTTCGGCGCGCTCCGCGCGCCAGGCAGGGAGGTCCAGCGCAGATCCGCGGCATCCGCGCGGGCCTGCGAGCGTTGATGCTGATGCAGTTGCTCCTCCTCCTGTGCTGGCCCAGTGGGGGGGGGCCGGCGCACGGCGGAGACCGGGCGTCCGTGGCGCCATGGGGGCGGGCTGCGGCTGGGCCGTCCTCCTCGAGTGGGCCGCGGTCTGCGCCGTGGTCGCGCTGCTGCTGCGCGCCTTCTGGGAGGCGCGCTCCCTGCACGGCCAGGGGGCCCTCCACCAGGTCTTCGTCTGCGACGCCGGGTTCCTGGCCGCGTGCCTGTGCTGCTGGGGCGCCCGCGTCGGCCTGGACGCCTGCCTGCCCCACGCGCGCCGGGTGCTCGTGGGCGAAGGGGCACAGCTTTAGCATCGCTCGGGCGTGTGCATGTTTCTGCCTCGGCGAGGGCCATCGGGGAGCATCCTGGATCACTCTGCGGAACAAGCGCGCACGGAACTAAGAAATGCAAGGGGAATGGGCGTCCGAGCGATGGCAAGAAAAACATATCCGTACCCGCGGCCTCGCGGGCCGGGCCGCGGGCCCGCGGGTCCGCGGATGCGGGGCGCTGCTTTCGCGGGTGCCCCGCGCGGAACGCCAACCCGTGCGAGCGCGTATCCGCGGGAGCGCGCCCCAGAGTCCAGACCGCGAGGGCGCGGCTCTGGACACAGTCAGAATCCATGGCAAGGGCGCGGTGCTTCCGCAGGGCACGCTCGCATCCTCGCCTCCTCGGCCAACCCTGTGCCAGTTTCGACATCCGAGGGCGTCCAACTCGAAAGAACCCAGGGCCTGGCACCCTTCCAGTCGGACCGAGGCATTTGATCGAGGTCGCCTCGGGGAGGGTACGCTAATGTTTTTCGTGCTTGTTGCATGTTCCTGTTGCACCCAGGAGAGGATGCCCTCAGATATGTTTGTTGGCCGGCGGAGGGGCTCATGTTCGTGAAGGATGCTATTCTGTCCTACAGTCGGGGCGCTGAGGAAGGAACCCTTTTCGTTGGGGAGGGGCTCGGTGTTCCTTAGGGGCTTGGTCTTGCTTAGGGCTTCGATGGGAAATCGAAGTTTCACGTATGGGAAAAAGGGGCCTCGTTCCTTATCCCAGACCCCCGACGTCATGATTTTTTCATGACGCGACCCCCAGAGGTCCCGACCCATTCCCCGGGACCGGTTTTTCGTCCTGAGTCGTTTTTTGACGGTCCCGAGGCCCGGCGAGGGCCCCCGGAGGCCGAAAATAGCGAAAAACCTCCCGTCGTGATTTTTTCACGACGCGAGGAGGTCTGGGTTTAGGGTTCCTTAGGTCAACGCCCCGACTGCAGGTCCGGCTGTGCCCTGCGCCCCTGCCATCAATCTTGGCTCCACCTTCGCCGGCCGCGAGGTGCTGCGCGGGGCTCGCGCGCGGGCGGCCGCGTGCCTGGGGCGCGCGCGGCCGGCCTCCGCGGCAGCCGTCACGCCCGCGAGCGCGGTGCCTCTGCTGCCGCGCGGCGAGCCCGAGCGGCTCCCGCCCGGGGACGAGCTCCCGGGCGGCGGGAGCGCCCAGGCTCGGCAGGCCGAGGAGGCCGACCAGGAGGGGGCCAGCCTGACCAAGCAGCACTACCTCGAGTTCCTGGTCCTCGGCCGGAGGCGAAGACGGATGGGAGGACCTGGACGGGGACGGCGGAGGAAGAGACCCCAGGAGGAGGAGGAGGAGGAGGAGGAGGAGGAGAGAACGCGGAAGAGGAGAGAGGAGGAGGAGGAGGAGGGAGGAGGAGGAGGTGGAGGAGGAGGAGGTGTAGGAGGAGGAGGAGGAGGAGAAGGAGGAGGAGGTGGAGCAGCAGCCCCAGCACCAGCACCAGCACGGGCAGCAGCAGCACCAGCAGCCCCAGCAGCAGCAGGGCAGCAGCAGCAGCACGAGGAGGAGTACTATAGGAGGAGAAGGGAGAGGAGGAAGAGGAGGAAGAGTGGGATATTTGACCAGGAGGAGGAGACAGATGAGGATTAGGATGGGAGCGTGAGCAAGAGGAGGATGAGGAGGATGAGGAGGAGGAGGAGGAAGAGGAGGAGGAGGACGAGGAGGAGGAGGAGGAGGAGGAGGGGCAGGAGTATAAGGAGGTAAGATAGGAGGAAAAGGTGGAGGTTGGGCCGGAGGAAATCGGTGAGGAGGGAAGGGCGACGATGATGAAGATATTGTTGATGATTCAAATGATGATGCCAGACGATGCTCGTGATAACCATCATAATGATGATACCAGTTATGACTTTCAGAGGTGATGTGGAGGATGTGGATGAGGGGGAGGAGGAAGCCGAAGGGGAGGAGGCCGAGGGATAGAAGAACACGGCGAGAATGAAGAAGATGGAGACGTGGTAGGGGCAGCATGGGGATATCGAGGCTGTTCCTGTTCCTCTCAGTGGTTTCGGTCTCCAGCGCGTTCTTCATCTGGGACTCCGGCCTGCTCTTCACTGGTCGCATGCAGGGGACGGTGGTCATCAACAGCATGCACCTGAGGGAGGGGGAGAAGAAGGCGGAGGAGGAGGAGGAGGAGGAGGAGGAGGAGGAGGAGGAGGGGGAGCAGGAGGAATGGAGAGGAAGAGCAAGAACACGTAGGAGCAAGAGAAGGGGAGATGACGTTCGGCTGAGAAGGGGGCCCTCATGGGGCAGGGAGAAGCAGGAGGAAGATGACCAGGAGGAGGGTGCGGTGGATGAGAAACATGATGATGAGGATACGTCAGATGATGATATGCTGCATGCTGGTGACCAAGTACACTGTACATATGCCAAGGGCGTGTTCATCATCATCCATCGCGCCAGCGTCGTTAAGTTTGTTGACGCTTCGCGTATCCCCTCGGGTACGTTCCTTCGTTCGCACCTGGACTTCGGGAACCTCCGCGCCATTTTGGCTGCGTCTGGTCTCTACGGTGCTACCTCAGGCCCGTCGGATCGCTGCATGCCCGTTCAGGGGCTGCCTCTGGCTCCTGGATTGCTTCGGCCTTGCCGCCCTGGACGTGTCGTGAGTCGCCCGATCCGCGGCCCCGCGCGCGTTAGTTAATTTAGTCGCGTCCGCGGCCCGTTCGCGACCTCCCGCCGCTGGCGCTTCCGCCTGCGGCTGTTTTAAAAAAAAAGTATCCCCTCCATGGGTTGGTCCGTGCATAAGGCGATCGTTGTGCCCGACCACGCTCAGGAGTCTTTTGAGTGAGGCGTTCTTCGGTTCTCCCCCTTCTGCCCTTGCGTTCTCTCGCGCCGCCCGCCCTTCCCCGCTCTCTCGCCTCCTCGTATTTTTCGGAGCGGCCTCTCGGGCCCCCCCGTGCTGCCACAGCGCAGCGTGCCGCACGCCTGCACGCGCCGGTCAGCACGGTTCGAGTTGGCGCCACTGTGCGACTCTCGGCTGTCTAGCTCCGTCTGGTGCCTGCGCCCCCGCTCCTGGGCCGCTCGCATCTTAATGGGGGGCATTGTGCCTCCTGCACGTGCATTTGCGTCGTCGGCCTACGTGCCGTCGCCGCCAATTATTTCGTTTCCACCCCAACCGAGCTCGTCCCGCTTCCTGGAGCTGTCCTTGTGAGCCGTCAATCACAAAAAAAGTATCCCCTCCAGCTGTGCCCCCGATTCTCCAGTTAAAATAGGGCCCGTTAGGCCATGCCGGAACGTGGTTCGCTAGTATCGCTGTCTGTAAAATGGGGCCCGTTAGGCCAATAGTGTCGGTGCCTCACTCACACTGCTCGCCGTGGTCTCTCGCCCTCCCTGGTTTGGCCTCCGACCTGTGTCTGATAGGGGTTGGCGAGGACCTCCGACACCGGTCCTCGCTTGCATCACCCTGGGCACGGCGCGCGCAGCGTCCGCTGTGGCCGACGACCGGCTTGCAGGCAGTGCTCCCTCCCTGGGGCCACGCCCTGCCCAGCCCCCGTCGTTCAGACCCTCCGGTCTGGGACTTCGGGTCTGCTGACCTTGCTGACTTGTGGGCCACGACGGGGCCGTGGTCCACCCGTCTCCTATTCGTTTCACCCCTGGCGTGCTCGCTGCGTTTCCCGCGGTGGCCGCCGGTCGGCCCGCAGGCAGAGCTCCTTCCCTGGTGCCTTTCCTGCCCAGCCCCCACTGCTCCCCGTCCTTGGGAACATGGGCAGTGGGACGTCGCTGGCAATCATGACTCGTGGGCTACTGTTGGGGCCGTGGTCCACCTGTCCAATACCGGCCTTCGGCCCGCTGTAGCTGTTCTCGCCCCTGGGGCGCGTTTTCTAGCGCCGCCGGGCGGCCCGCCGGGTCGGGGGGCCCCCCCCGCTGTGCCTGGCTTCGGCCTCTCCGCCGGTTGGTGGCGTCCTCCCCACCGCACCGGCCTCTGCCATGCCGCGCATCCCGCGGTTCTTCCTCTGGCTTTTTCGTCGGTCGGTGGTGCCGTCCCTCCATCGCTCCGGCCTTCGACCTTGCCGCTCAAATCGCGGTTTTTCGCTTCTGGGCTGGCGGCCGTCCTGGCATCGCTTTGTCCAGTGCGCTCCCGGCACGTGTGGCTCGCTCCGTGGACTCCGGCCTGGGTCTTCCCCGTGGTGCCTTCCGCCCGTCGTCACTTTGTGTGTGTGTGTGTGTCAGTCCTGTGCTCGTGGCCCGGTACCAGGCCCGTGTTGGGTCAACCTGATGCCACCTCACGCACTGGTTCGTGGTGACCTGCGCCATTTTGGCTGCGTCGCGGCTCCGCCGCTTCCCGCACTCGTGCGTTCTGCTGCCCGGGGGCTTCTTGGCCACGGCCACCCTGGGAGTTGCAGCCTGCCAGCGCTTTCGCCTCCTTGCGTTAATTTTTTGACCGACGGTCTTTCGGGCCACCCTGGTACATCGCTCACGCCGACGTCCGGGGCTTCGCCTTTGCAGTTCTCAATTCCACCTTGACCGCCGGTTCTTTGGCTGGGGCCACCCTGGTGCTCACGCAGTTGTCCGGGGTTCGGGCTCATGCGTTAATTCTACGGCTTCCGACTCTGGTCGTCGTTTATCCCGACTTCTTGGTGCTTCCGACGGTTCCGACGCTCTGCATACTTGCGCGCTGGCAGTTCGATTCAGTCTCAGTCACCCCTGCCCCCCGCCCGCCGCTGGGCCGCCGCGTGAGGTCTCGGCTAGCTGCGTTAGACGTGGCTCGCCCCCGCTGCCTTCGCTTAGTTCGTCGCTGCGTAGCCCGCTTTGACCTGACTCGCCGCCGGCGCGCTCGCCCGCGGCCGCTGACTAAAAAAGTATCCCCTCCAGCCCACTCAGAAGCGATGCCCAGACAGACGGCAGCCGTTCAGCGAAAGCTCGCGATCAGACCGAGCAGGCCCTTATCTTGTGGCCCGCTGGGGGGCTCTCTGAGGTCTATTTGGGGGAGTCTCGGGATCCTCTTTGGAGCTCTTTTGTGGGGGGTTCTCTGAGGGCTATTTGGAGGAGTCTCGGAATCCTCTTTGGAGCTCTTTTGGGGATCCTTGGGGCCTTCTTAGGGGCCTCTTGGGAGCCCTGGAGGTCTCTTGGGCCATATCGGAGGGCGTCGATCAAAAGAAGGGGGTTCCTTAATTCAGCCCCCCCCCCCCCCCTCAAGAGCCATCAACATCGCCTTTTGGGGGGCCCTTGGGGCGCTCTTGTGGCCATCGGGAGCATATGGGGCCATCTTGTGTTTTTCGAGGGGCCTCGTGGAGGCACGATGGAGGCCAACTCGAACCATCCTCGGCTATCTTGAGCCGTGTTGGAGGCCAGGAGCTGGGGGCCCAACAAACTTCAGGGAGAGGGGGGGGGGGGATCGCCCTCCCCGAAGGATGGATGGTTTTGGACGAGGGGGGAAAAATCGTTTGACGACCTACGCCCGAATAGCTGGTGGGGTTTGCTCTGCTCTCCGCAAGACCCTGGACCACCAACTGTCACTCGAGGAGGAGGAGGAGGAGGAGGAGGAGGAGGATCAGAGCAGGGGTAGGAGGACGAGGAGGACAGGAGGATGACAGTGGAGGGGTAGGAAGATGAGGGCGGACAGGAGGATGATGATAAGAAGTGTAGAACCGATTTGCGGGGACTGGGAGGCGGAGGACATTTGTCGGCGGCGGACGAGGGTGGGAAATGAGAGGGACAAGGCCTTCCAGACGGCGGTGGGACTTCTCAGAAACCCTCGCGACTTCTCAGAGGTTTTCTGTTGTCTTCGGGGAAGGCTCAGAGAACTAGAACCTCTCAGAAGGCTGGGGGACTTCCGAGCCTTTTGAGAAGACCCGCCCCTTCTCACTTCGCCCCCCGCCAGCCGCCAAACTTGGAAACGAACACAAGCGTACCGAATGTGAAAAACGCCGTATGAAGGACAATTTCTTTGACGTCCTGTGCGATACAACAGCATGCGGGAGAAAAGCTGTCCCGCTCGGGCTCGATCCAGAGCGAGGAGAGTAGTATCCATGTTGAGTCATTGTTATAGGGAGGGGGGAGGGGGGGGAGCAAAAGTGAGCACGAAGGGGGGGGGGAGGGGCAAACGTGAGCACGGCCATTTTTCTTTCGGCCGGGCACCTCCGGCCCATGACCCCGAAAATGACACAGACATGTTCCCAGAGTGTGAGGAGGATAAAAATCATTACAAGGATGAGGACACGCAGGAGGAGAAGCAGGATGGGGAAGACACGGAGGGGGAGAGGGAGAAGGAGAAAGAGGAGGAACAGTTGGAGCAGTGGGGAAAAGAGGAGCTGGTGGAGGAGCAAGAGGAAGTGCAGCAGCAGCAGGTGGAGCAGGAAAAGGAGCAGCAGCAGCAGCAGGAGGAGGGGGCGAGGGAAGATTGGGAGGAGGAGCGGATGAAGGTACACGGCTTGGCCTCGAGAGCCCAGCAACTCGTCTTGCCAGTTGGGCTTCCCCGGCAACGGCTCCGAGGTCATCACAGACGGCGGGAACGGTTCTGAGGCTGCATTTCTCCTGCTCCCGCTGCGCAACTCCCCTTCCACAATTACTCAATATGAATACTACTCTCCCTCTTCCCCCGAAGGCGGCCTGAAAGTAGTAGACCCCCCCCCCCGCGTATTGTTTTTTACATACAGGATTCCCGGGAGTTGGGTTTTCGCCTGCGTTTTTTTTCGAAATGCTGCTCTCGCTGAGGCGCCGGCCTCATTTCTGCTCCCGAATCGTTCCGAATCGTGCTCCCGCTGCAGCGTGGGCCTCATTTTCGGATCGGTGTTTGGCCTCACCACGCACGCACGCACGCACGCACGCACGCGCACCACCACCCACTACGCACGCGCGCGCGGAGCCACAGGTCCGCTACGACACGCGTCCGCGGATAGAGAAAATCAGCGCCATGGTAAGGGATGGGAGGGAGGGGTAGGACGTCAGATATGACGCGAGCGCACCTAGCTTGTCTTTCCCCCTCCCTCCTCCCCCCTCCTCCTATTCGCCTCATCCTCATACCCCACCTCCTCCCCTCTCCTTCTCCTCATCATCCTCCTCCTCCTCCTCTTCTTCCTCCTCCTCCTGCTCCTCCTCCTCCTCTCCTCCCCTCTCCTTCCCTCACTCTCTTCCTCTCCTCTCCTGCTCTTCCTTCTTCCCCCTCCTCCTCCTCCTCCTCCTCCTCCTCCTCCTCCTCCTCCTCCTCCTCCTCCTCCTCCTCCTCCTCCTCCTCCTCCTCCCCCCCTCGTCTTCCATGTTCTGTTCCCTTCTGAATAGCCCCTCCCTGTCACACCCCAGACGTGGCGGCACAGCGGGCAGGGCTTTTCGTCCGAGACTTCCTCACCGCCTATGATCCTGAAGCTGAGAAATCTGTAACAGCTGCACGGATGGACCGTCTTCAAAATGTGCCTCCTACTCCTCCTCGTCCTCCTCCTCCTCCTCCTCCTCCTCCTTCTCGTCTCCTTTCTCCTCCTCCTCCTCCTCCTCCTCCTGATGATCCTGAAGCTTGAGATCTGTAACAGTTGCACGGATGGACCGTTTTCGAAATGTGGCTCTCGTCTGAGCGTCGCGCACAATCGCTCAGGAAGATGCCGCAGCTTCACGAATGGAGGGCAGGCCGCTATCAAAGTGTGGCTCTCGCGTCAGCGCCGCGCACACTCGCCTTGAGAGTTGGCAGCAGTCTGACGGACGAAGGGCGGGTCTTCTTCAAGCTGCGGCCCTCGCCCCGGCGCCGCGAACATTCCTCTGGAGTGCCTGCAACCGTTTCAAGGAAAGGCGGTTCTTTTCAAAGCGTGGGTCTCGCTTTAGCGCTGCGCACATTCCTTCTGGAAAATTTGCGATTGTTTCAAGGGTTCGCCGGATCGGATTCGAAGGAGTGGCGTTCTGGCAAGATGAGGGGTTGCCAGGGCGCACCAGTCACGTTGATTCGCTGTGTCGGAATCCCAGGAATGGAAATCTGGCACGGTTTTAGGCTGGCCGGGACGCAACATTCACGATGATGCGCGACGCTGAAATCCCAGACATGGTTTTTTTGGCACGATTAAGGATTCTCTGACGGTTGTCTTCCAATGGTAAATTCTTGTAGGGCCTTCAGACGAGGGAATTTGGAGGGAGGGCTTACGTACTGCAACATCGGTGATGCGTCTGCGGTTTACACTGGTCCTCCTCCTCCTCCTCCTCCTCCTCCTCCTCCTCCTCCTCCCCTCTCCTCTTCCTTCTCCTCTTCCGCCTGTTCTTTCTCCTCCTCCTTCCGTCGCCATTTTAGCTCAAGGCCGAAGTGGTTCCCATTTCCATGCCTAAGCGGGGTAGGGTAGGCTCCCTGGTGGCAACCCAGCGAAGTCCTTGTGGCACATCTCTTTGAAGTCCTGCCAGACAGTAGTCACTACACATTCTAAGACCAGCTCGGCCCGAGTGGCGGCTGACATCCGGAAACATTGGCGCTGGGAGGCTGCATTCGCGATCGTGCAGATTGTGGGCGTGTTCTGCAAGCCGCGCTACATGAAGCCATCAGTCTGCCTTGCACCGCAGCCGACACGACCTTTTGTATTCGGGTGGGAGTAAGTTGCTGGACGCCCGTTCCCCCCCCCCCCAAAGGCAAGATGGACACAGACAGAGGTGGCAGTGGAAGTCGAAGTGATCAGCCCAGGCGCGCTGAAGACAGAAGAGAAGGCCATAGGCGACGCAGCGACGAAAGTATACCCAAGAGAAAGGGGAGGAAAACGTCACCGCTCAGATCATCCACGCAGAAGACATAGCATGGGACCGTGATAGAGGCCGTGATTATGATGCACCTGCCCGTGAGCGAGAATTGCATCGACGACAACCGCTTGCTCGGCACTGCTCGTCCAGATCAGCCAGTGGAGGAGCAGACCAAATCTACCAATGTGGCCATCGGCGAGAAGCTGAAGACGCTACCGCTGCTGCGCGACGCCCTGAGGCTAGTGGCGGCCCCTTGGCCCGCCCGAAGTGGAGGTACAACCCTTGCGGCAGTTGGAAGGAATGCATGTTGTCCTCTGCAGGTCGCAGCTGAGGCTCTTGCGATGGATGGCGGTGCACCTACCCCGATTCCAGTACTAAGTAGGCACGGTGCTCTCAGGCTGCGTGCTCATCTCCCTGGCAGTTTCGGTGAGCTGGAATCGCGTCAAGCGAGCCCACGGCAAGGCGCAGGACGCCTACGCGACTAGCCAGTTTACAGCGACGGCGAACAGCTTGGCCAGCCAGCAAGCCAACGCCCTCAACGCCCAGGTTCAAGATCTCTTGCAGCACAGTGAACAGCATGCGGCCCACCTTCGGGAGACAAAACATTATTAATGTGCTAGTGGCCTCGAGAGGCGTGCAGACAAACTGGAAGCTTACCAGAAGCGGATGCGTCCCCAGTGCGCAGCCACCGAACAGTCTGCACCACTTGCAGAAGCGCCACCCCATTCGACCTGCAGAAGCTTGCTGGACAGGAGCGACCCGCAGACCCCGCGCTCTCCAGTATCGGTGCGCAACGTGCCACGGCGCCGCAAGAAACCAAGTTGGCTCTTTCTGATCGGAGTGGCCTTTCTTGTGTCTCAGCGCTTCCATCACGGAGGAGAAGCCGTCCCAGCGCGAGCCATGTTTCTCTCCCGTGCGCGACATGGCGGACATCGGCAATCATTCGGAGCATTCTGGGGACCCGCGACAGAAGGCGCCAACACACCCGTCGATGTACGTTAATGCAGACAAGAGCATGGATTAATGCTATTGGAATTGCAAGCAAACTGGTTCCAGAAACTTGTTACGAGAACGCCATCCAGGTCAAATGGTGTTCGACGTTCCAAGGAATTCGTCGCGATCGACACAGTGCTGCTTGCCTTGGTGGAAGTTCAAGGAGGAGAGCAAACCTCGAAGCTGCGATGGGGCCAACTAGGCGTCGCCAGATCTGCGGTTGACAAGGCCTCTGTGGTGGTCAACCGCACGCTTGCGAGCGTGGACGCCACTGCGTGGTCTACCTAGCAGAACGTGGACGCCGACGAAGGCGACAACGGACAAGGGTGGTACTTTGGTAATTGGGTTGCCCGCGGCCAGTTATGCCACAAGCCTCATCGCAGAAAAAAAGAAGCCGAACAAACTGGCATCGTTCATGCGCAAGAAGGCCGCACCGTGATTTAAAAAACGCTGGGGAAGACGAGGCAACTTGGAAGCGGCTATATTCATGTATCCCTGCTCTATGAGGTTTTCGTCAGCCAGCTCTCGCGGTGCTGGGTGAGTGGCCTTTCGCATGTCACAGGAAGGACATGGCGGTTGCAACGCCGACGTACAATTTTAGCATGGCGCTTTCTGCCGTGGTCGAGTCGCTCTTCTCGAGATCCTCAGCGAACTAGGCGACTACACCATGGTGCTTGTGAACTCGAGATCGACTAGGCGAGCCAGAAGAAGGTTGGAACCTGCTGGGGGCAACAGTTGAATTGGAATAAGGAGGACCCGACGCGGCGCGTGGCAACCACAACGGGGGTCTTTAATGCACGCCGCCGTTCTGCGCAAAGTTACATTTCTACTGGGAATGCGACGCGTGCCACTGAACCTGCCCACGGTGCTCATCTTCAACCCCAGGACATTCCTGGGGACGTCTGCTCGACATGGTGACCGAGATCACCACGGACCGCCCGACGCGCTTCCGCACAGGCACGCGCAGACGGCGGCGCTTTCGGACAGGGTGTCCGTTGGACTGCCCCCCACCTCTTGCTTGGGATGCCCTCGCCATCTATGCTGAAGCTTGAGATCTGCAGCGCCCTTAAGCATGGAGCACAGGGCGTTGTCAAAAAAGTGGCCCTTGCCCGAGCGCCACGCGCGCTCGCTGTGCACGCTTGCAGCCGCTTCCACGGACAGTTCCTGCCAACATGTGGCTCTCGCCTTGGCGCCGCCCGCGTTCATCGCGGCTTCAAGAACGGCGGCCGGCCCCTTTTCGAAATGTGATGTTCCCCTCTCCCGCGCACGTCCGCCTCAACATGCTGCACAGTTTTCAAGGCAACGTAGCGTTGAAATCCAGAGAGTGGCGTCCATTCAGGATTGCGGACTGCTTGGGGCGACAGTCACCTTTGATTCGCGGCGTTGCGTATGTTTCTCTCTTTTCCTCCGCCCGTCTCCCCGTCATCTTCTCTGCCTTTCGCTCGGCCCTTGTCATTTGTAGTTCCTCACCGTTTTCTGTTGCTGGCAGTAGAACTTAGTGATGCCAGTCGCATTTGGCCTGGCTCTTTTGTTTCGGCAGGAGGCGTTTTACACGTAATCGGTGTTGTTTCGCCTTCTCGCCCTCCCTCCTCGCCCTCTCTTCCGCCCTCCTCGCTTAGTCGTCCCGTGAGGGGCAGTTGCGCGTGTGCCGCGGGCAGAACCCAAGGGTGTACTCATGCACGTTTTTGTCTACCCTGTGGTTATTTCCCTCTTCCTCCTCCTCCTCCTCCTCCTCCTCCTCCTCCTCCTCCTCCTCGTCATCATCATCCCCTTTCTCGGCCACGCTCGATCTCCTCCTTGACCTCGTCCTCCTTGTCTCTCCATCCCCTTTCTCGGCCACGCTCGATCTCCCTGACCTCGTCCTCCTTGCCTTTCCTCGTTCCTCCTCCTGCGCTGGTGGTGCTTAGGTTGCGCTGCCTGGTGCCAGCTACGACCTCTAGATTGCCGCTGAGTTCTTCTCTCCGCGATGCGATTCATATTTCAGGCACGTGCTTCTTGATCGCGCGAGTGGGATCGTCCTCCTGAGCGGCAGCGGGTTGCTAGCTTTTGAACAATTCGCGGCGTTGAATGAAGTCCCAGGGGTGGTCTTGTGGCACGCCAGTCACGCTGATTCGCGGCGTTGAAGTCCCAATAATTTTGTTGGGCAGCATTAATGAGAATTATAATGCTGTTGCCTTTCAATTTGGCACGTCCCGCAGTGACAAATAATACTTGCAGAGGCTCGCCAAGAGCGAATGTGGAGGGTAGGTTTGATACAACATCGTTGATGCGTCTTGAGTTTGCACTGGTCCTCCTCCTCCTCCTCCTCGGCCTCCTCCTCCTTTGTTCCGCCTCTTCCTCTTTTTCCTACGCTTTTTCCTCCTCTTCCTCCTCCCTCCCTCCCTCCTCCCTCTCCTCCTCCTCCTCCTCCTCCTACTCCTCCTCCTCCTCCCCTCTCCTCCTCCTCCTGCTCCTCCTCCTCCTCCTCCTCTTCCTCCTTCTCCTGCTCCTCCCCCTTGCCCTCCTCCCTCTCCTTCCCCTCCTCCCTCTCCTTCCCCCTACCTTCCTCCCCTCCTTTTCGGTCAGTCTGTCGCAGTTCTGCTTGTCTCAGGAGAGCCCGTGGCTGGTGACGGTTCGGCTTCGACTTCGCTGCGTCGGGGAGGGGGGGTCGGGGCTGTGCACTGGAGCCCAGCCACGCGCAAGCTCCACCGCCTCCCGGGGGCCTCCCCCGCCCGCCTCGGCCCGGGCGGCCGTGGACGTGGAGGCGGAGCACCGGGCTTTGTCGGGAGGGGCCAGATGCAGCGATGGCCTCCGCGACTGCGCCGGGGAGTGCCTGGCGGTCCTCTCCATCGCCCATACCGAAGGCTGTGGCGGGAGCGACGCCCAGAAGTCGTTGCGCTGGCCTCCGGAGGGGGCTGCCACGGCGATGTGCTGCCTCGAGAGGGCCCTATACGAGCAGGAGGCCCCTGCGGAGGTCCCACGGGGAGCCCCGCTTACCCCTCTGAGCGGAGGGACTGGTTCAATGACCAGGCCGACCGGGCTGCCAAGTTGGCCTGCAAGCGGCCCCACCTTGGCCCGTCTTGAGGACCAGCTTATGCGGTTCTCGAAGTTCGTTGCAGCTGCTGCCCGTGCCCTTGCGTCGGGGCCAGCCCGCCAGGTCGAATGGAAGGGCATCCGATGGGCGCGTTGCTGCAGGGTCCCCGCCTGCAGACTCGCCCACGACTCTTCCCAGGCCGGGCGCTCCCGCCGGCAGCGCAGGCAGCGCTTGAGGTCGAAGGTGGCCCCCCCCAGAGCTCCCTGGACCCGCGGGACTGCAGGCAGGGCGATGCGCGCCCCAGTGTTCTTCGGTGTGTGGCCGTCATATCTCGCCCACGCGCACGATGTTGGATGGCGCGAGCCCGCTCCGCGGCCCGAGGCCGAGGTGTGGGTGGCGCGCTCGTGTTTGGCAGGGAGCTGCTGCCGGCGCGCTGCCACGGCGCCGCCGGGCCCGGGCAGGGCCTGCCCCAGTTCCGGTGCCCCTGGACGGAAGCATAGTGAGGCAGCACAGGAGAGCAGATATCTCTGAGGCAGCACAGGAAGCATAGTGAGGCAGCATAGTGAGGCAAGCTGCGCCGATCTCTGCAGAGCAGGCACCCCGAGCGAGGATCGGAGTCTTGCTCACCGGCCCCTCGTGGGACAGCCGTACGGAGCCGGCGAGGCTCCAGCTTCTCTCCGCCAGGTTTGGGCCCGTGTCGAGTTGGCCCCAGTGGCCAGACTTGTGCTGGGTGGAGGAAGGGGGAAAACTCTTCTCCTCTTCCCATCCTCCTCCTCCTCATCCTCCTCCTCCTCCTCTTTCTCTTCCTTCTACTCCTTCTCCTCCCCTTCTCCCCTCCGCCAGGCCCGCGGCTTCATCGTCTCCTCTCGAGTGGCCGAGCAGCGCGGCATGAGCCGCAGCCGCGAGCCCTGCGGGGCCCTGTCCGCGTGGCACGCCCCAGCGGAGTGGCTCACCTCGGAGGAGCCCAGAGCGCCGAGGAGGGAAGTGAGGGCCGCCGATGGTCTCCCTCCTGGCCCTGGACCGCAGAAGCACGGGGCGGCGCGCGCAAGAGAGGGCTGCCTGATGCGTCGCTTCCCCAGGAATGAACAACTATACGCCCTTGCAAAGCAATTCCGTCGTCGCATTTTAGGCCGTGCGACGACATCCTGGGGAGCTCTAGGCCTGGCTGGGTTCGAGCCGAGCTACAGGATTCAAGCAGTGGCGAAGTGTCCTGGCGTGCCTATAGCCCTACCAAGCAATATTCTAAGAGCCTTTTGTGGCTCCCACGAAAGGTTCTTAGAACATGTCTGGCGGAGTCTCTTGTTTTCTCACATCGGGCACATGTTCTAAGAACATTTCTCCTGTTCTTAGAAGCCGCCACAACGGTGACGGAGCATTCGGGGTAGGAGGATAGGAATGCGGACGTCGGTCCTGCTCAAGAGGGGAATAGTGGAGGGCCGGATGGGCTTTCCCACCAGTTCGGGGGAGCGAGCCGCAGGGGCTCTGGAGGGACCCAGAGGAGGAGGAGGAGGGAGGATGAGGAGGAGAGGGGAGGAGCCCTGGGCTCTCACCTTGGGACCCCTTTGTTTCAACCCCTGCGCTCTCCTCGGCGTCGGCCTTCTTTCGGGGGCCAGTCCTCGGGCCCTGGAGGCCGTCACAAGCTGGATCTGGGGCTCCCCTCCCCCACCCTCCCCCCCCCCCACTCCCCCCCCCCCTCCCTCCTCCTCCTCCCTCCCCTTTCCCCTCCTCCTCAATAATCCTCCCCCCCCCTTCCTCTCCTCCTCTCCCCTCCCTCTCTCACCTTCTACCTCCTCCTCCCCTCCGCCTCCTCCTCCACTTTTTTCCTCCTCCCTCTCCTCCTCTCCTTCCGTCATCTCTTCCTCCTCATCAACGCCACGCCTGGGGCTGGTGCGCTCTGCCAGCTCCGACTGTGATGATGTGCGCGGGCATTTAGCGTGTGTGCTCACGGCCCGGATTCGGTAAAACCGGATCGGAGGATGTCTGAGAGACTCGAGGAGTCCGTGCGCATGGCGTCCCGCGAGGGGTCTGCCACAATCCTGAGGGACTGCGAGAAGCCGAGGTACGCTTCGGAGAAGAGCAACACTCGGCGAAGGTGATCGTGTTCGGGCCCAGTGCCGAAACGCCGAGCAGGAAAACGACCGCGAGGGAATTTGGTGGGTCCTCATTGATTTCGGAATCTGGGAAGCCCATGGCCGGACGACTGCGGGTTGCGCCGCAGGGGGAGGGGAGAGGCCGAGGTCGCCGGCCACATGCTTTTCCAACGGGCGCTTTTCTTAGATCTTGGCCTCCTCCTCCTCCTCCTCCTCCTCCTCCTCCTCCTCCTCCTCCCCCTCCTCCTTCTCCCCCTACTCCTCCTCCTTTTCCTCCTCTCGGGGGGGGCCGTTTTCGGGACCCCGAGGCCATCCAAAGTGGATCCGGGATGGAAAGCACCCCCGGGGGAGCGTTCGGGATCTCATGGCGCCGCGGAATTGGAGAGCACAGGTCGGCGGACATCACCAGAGGATGTCGTCGTCGCCTCTTGGGGGCTTTCCCGTCTCGGGCTGCTCTCCAGCAGCTGCGCCTCGTGGAGGGCTTCCTGGGGTTGCCTGGACTGTCCCGACCGGCCGCTGGGACTGAGGATTCGTCGTAGTCGTAGTCGCAATCGTAGTCGTTGCTGTCGGCATCGTTGTTGCGCGGCGGGTGCCGCGGGGAACAAATGATTAGTTGCCCCCATTTGGTGGGACACCAGTCCGTGAATAAGGCCGCCGATGAATCAATTGGTTACCCCTTTATTAGGGGGGGGTTCTGAAGACCTCTCGCGGGTATGGCCCGAAGGCCCCTTCGGCGCATCCGATGGACCGTGGGGGCACCAGTCCGTGAGTGAGACCGCCGAGGAATCAATTGATTGCCCCTTCATTGGGGGGGGTTCTGAAGACCTCTCGCGGGTATGGCCCGAAGGCCCCTTCGGCGCACCCGAAGGACCGTGGGGGCACCAGTCCGTGACTGAGGCCGCCGAGGAATCAATTGATTGCCCCCTCATTGGGGGGGGGGTGAAGACCCTGCGCGGGTATGGCCCGAAGGCCCCTTCGGCGCACCCGGAGGAGCACGCCCCCGACCCCACGTTCCGGCAGTGCGCCTTCCTGGCCACCCTCTGCAACGCCTCGGGTCTTCGGAGGAAAAAGCACCAATGTGAGCATACAGGCCACAAAGACGATTCATCGGGTTGGGAGGATGGGGCAGGGAGGATACAAGGCACGACCGTGTAAGTTGCACACTCGACACACACGATAATAGATTATCCCAGTGCGACCCTACCTAGGAGTTGGAGCATCTAGGAGAGCAACATCTACATCTACACCGACAGCTACATTAACATCTACACCTGCATCTACATCTACATCAACATCAACAGCGAGGCTCACATCTACATATACATCCACACCTACAGCTACACCTACATCTACATCTACATATGCACCTACATCCACATCTACACCTACACCTACATCTACATCTACACTTTCGCATTGGTGTTGCTGTTGCGTAGCATGCTATGCTATGCTATGCTATGCTTGGTTATGCTGTGCTATGATGTGCTAATGCTGCGCTGCGCTATGCTGCGCTGCGCTAGGCTAAGCTGTGCTGCGCTATGCTATGCTATGCTATGCTATGCTATGCTGCGCTATGCTATGCTAGGCTATGTTATGATATGCTATGTTGCGCTATGATATGCTATGCTAGGCTATACTATGATATGCTATGCTGCACTATGCTATGATATGCTATGCTATGCTATGCTATGCTGCGCTATGCTATGCTGTGCTGTGCCATGCTATGTTATGCTGCGCTGTGCTATGCTAAGCAGTGCGATGCTATGCTATGATATGGTATGCTGCGCTATGCTATGCTATGCTATGATATGCTTGGCTATGCTATGCTGAGCTGTGATATGATATGACATGTTTGGCTGTGCTATGCTATGCTATACTGTGCTAGTGCTGCGCTGCGCTATGCTGCGTTAAGCTAAGGTAAGCTAAATGATGCTTAGCTAAGCTAAGCTAGGTTAAATTCAGCTAAGCTAAACTAAGTTAAGCTAAGCCAAGCTAAGCTAAACTAAGCTAAGCTAAGCCTAGTTAAGCTAAGCTAAGCTAAGCTAGGCTAGGCAAAGCGGGGGATCCTGGGGGAACCGCGGGGCGGATGCCCGGGGAACCGGCCGGGGCGTGGAACACTGCCGGGTCCTTTAAGCTAACAGGGTAAGAACCCTTCTAGGCAGAGCCTAGGTAGGGAACATGATCTGGTCATCTCTCCCACCCCCATCCTCCCAACCCGATAGTTGTCTTTCTGAACCGTCGAGGCCCATAACAAGACACCCTGCTTCCCTCCAGGGCGCTCTGGAATTATCGGGTTTCGATGGTTTTGCTATGGAAGGCGTAACGTCCCCACACCAAACATCAAGGGACGTGGGGTCTCAGGGTTGGGTGTTGGGTTTCTGGTGGAAGGTTTCTTGTGGTCGAGCTCCTACTACATGGGGCGTTCCAGAAAGGGCCTTGCTATCGAGGATCGAAGGAGTTGCCCTCTCTTCCGCCGCGGAAGGTGGCGGAAGGTCGGCGGAAGGCGGCGGAAGTAAAACGAGGCTGCCTCCGCCGGCGTAAGGGCGGCGGAGGGTGGCGGAAGTAAAAAATGCGCCCACAAGGGATGAAAACGTCTTTGGGTTCAGGGTTTCTGGAATCGGCCACATGTTCGAAGGTCCACGCGGGTTTCTCGGATCCGCGCTGTGCCCCCTTGCCTCTGGCGCCGCCCTTGGCGCGGTCAGAGCGCCAGGGAGGGACGTCCAGCGCCGGTCCGAGAAACCCGCGCGGACGTTCGAAAGAATGCTTTGATGTTTGCTATTCCTCTAGATCTGGCGTACGTCCCGCCCATGGCCCGGGGCGACGTCAACGTCTCCGACCCGGCACAGTGCTGGCTCTTTCGGTCCGTCGTGGAGCCGGCGCAGGCGGGGCCGGAGGCCTGGCTCTGCAAGGGCGAGGACACCGAGGGGCAGCGCACGGTGGCCGTGCTTGCTCTGACGCTCGTCTACGGCATGGCGGCGGCCAGCTGCGGCGTGTGGCAGGTGCCGGGCAGTGCCAGGAGGGGCCACCTCTCTGGAGGGCCTCGGACGATCCTCCTGGAGGTCGAGGCTCCAGGATCGAAGCCCGAGGTTGTTGGACCTCTGGGGTCGTTTGGGCAGGGTCCGAGCTGCTCCGGGGTGGGCCCACTCGAGTACTTGGGCAACCAGTGTAGATAGCCAAATGGGGATCTCGGGCTGATCCTGCCCCAGACCCCCGGCGTCGTGCATTTTTCACAACGTCGACCCCCACCACCAGGGCGAAAGGATTGCCAAAGAGAATCTCAATCGCCCAAAACAGAGCCGGATGATATTTGAGCTCCGGAGCTCCGGGGAAAGTGGAAAATGTCCTCATGATCTCTCGATGCGCGTGATTCCCGTTTCATGAAAATGCATGCCAGGCGATATCTCTTCTAGTTGCGGGGACAGGGGAGCGAGGTTTGGAGGGGCGAGGGATCGGGGCGAGCGCTTCGGCGCCTTATTTCGCCCGTCGCCACTCGCTTCGCGTCTCTTCCATCCACCACAGCCAACTCCAAACGAGGAGGCCACGACGCGCCAAAAGCACGTCGACAACTCTTCTGAAACAAGAGTATCAGATCGAAAAATGCATGGGCGCAGCATGCCGACAAATGCGGGCTACGCAGCGTCAAAGGAGGAGGAGGCGGAGGAGGAAGAGGAGGAGGAGGAGAAGGAAGAGGAGGAGGAGGAGGAGGAGGAAAAGGAAATGGAGGACGAGGAGGAGGAGGTGGAAAAGGAGGAGGAGGAGGAGGAAGGAGGCAGGAGCGAGGAGAGGAGGGGGCGAGGGAGGAGGAGAGGGGAGGAGGAGGTAGGTGGAGGAGGAGGAGGGGAGGAGGAGGGAGGGGAGGAGGAGGGGGGGAAAGAGGAGGAAGGAGGAGGTGGAGGAGGCGGCGGAGGAGGAGTGTGGAGGAGGAGGAGGAGAAGAAGGAGGAGGAAGAGGGGAGGAGGAGGAGGAGGACGACGATGAGGAGGAAGGAGGAAGAGGAGGAGGATGAGGAGGAGGAGGAGGAGGAGGAGGCGGAGGAGGAGAGGGAGGAGGAGGAGGAGGAGGAGGAGGAAAAAGGAGGAGGAGGAGGAGGAGCAGGAGGAGGAGTGAGAGAGGGGGAGGCGCGAAACGCGCACGGCCCGGCCGCGTGCGGCCTTAGGAGGGCGGCCACCGGCCGCGCTGGGCGAGCTCCGCCGGCGAGTGCGCCCCGAGCCAGCGCGGGGGGACCTGCATGCTGCTGCAGCAGCATGCATGTTCTGCAGCCGGGGCCCCCCTCCATGGAGGGGGGCCCCGGCTGCACAACATCGATGTCGCGCCGGGCCTGGATGCTGTGCAGTTCGAGGACCCTTTCCAGCAGCCGCGCGTACGCCTCCGCGCCATCGCGGTCCTGCTGTGGCGGCGGGCGCCGCTCCGCCACCACGGCGCGCGCCTCCGCGGCGGCCGCGCGCGCCTCCGCGTCGGTCGCGCGCTTCTCCGCGGAGGCCGCGCGTCCCTCTGCGGTGGTCGCGCGCGCCTCCGCGGAGGCGCGCGCCTCCGCGGCGGTCGCGCGCACCTCCAGGAACGGTGAGCATATCCATATCCGCGCCCTCGCGGTCTGAATTGCGAGGCACGATCCCGCGGATACGCCGTCGCACAGGTACGCCCCGCGGAGAGCATTCGCGAAAAGACGCCCCGTATCCGCGGGGCCGCGGCGCAAGAGCCCGGCCCGCGAGGCCACGGATATGGATATGTTTCCCGCCCGCGGGCCTCCGCGGCGGCCGCGCGCTCCTTCGCGTAGGCGTGGCCTGAGCGGCCTGAGGCGCCGCCGCGGCGGCCGCGCCGCTTGGGCGCCGGCGCGGCCGCCGCCGCCGCGGCGGCCGCGGCGGCCGCGGGAGGCGCCGCCGCCGCCGCCGCCGCCGCCGCCGCTGCGCGTTTCCCCATGACCCCCCGGCGGCGGCCGCCGCCGATGCGGGGGGGCTGTGGTCTGCGGGGCGCAGCGGGGCGCGCGCGCATCCCCGTTCGAAATCCACCGGCGCGTTTCCTGTTTTGTTTGTAAACCTTATATCTCCTGGCCAGCATGGCGACTTCCTTATCGGAAAAAAAGCCCGCTCGCGCAGACGCGCGCAAGTTGAATTGCAATATATTTTACAAAGATCACCCCGCGCGCGCGTGGAGTTCCGTACTGTCAACGGTTGCCCAAGTGGATTTCGAAGTGAACACGGGGTGCGATTGTTTGCACCACGGTGTGGCTGCTCTTATGTTGCGCGCGCGCGAAATGATGCATTGCACGCGATAGAAATGTCGCCGCGTTGGCCTAGTGGGCGGGGTAGGAAACTAACATCAACCCTCTGTCACCGACTGTGGCGCAGAATTTCCAACAGCCAGCAAGCGCGCGTCCGCGCGAGAGCGCATTTTTTTTGTTTTCCCGTGATGGGACAACCGCCAACCACTCGGTTTGGGCGTCGCAGATCGGGTTTCCAAACCGCGACATACGTCTTGTATACAGGCTCTCCATCAGCGCCCGCGCGAGTGGGATTCTGCAATTCCCAAATGAGGAAGTCGCCATGCAGCCTGGAAGCTACGCACAGAACTCTGCACGCGCGCGTGGTGAGTTCTGAGCCCGAAACAGAAAGGTCGCCACGTTGGGCCATGGCGTGAAGTGAACACATCGCGCGCGGCGATTGGATTTCGATCGGTTTGCGAGCGAAGCAAAAGGGGGAGAAAGGGAGGGGGAGGGGGAGGAAGGAAGGCAAATCGGGGAGAGTTTGTTTCCCCGAAAGCCCTTCCTCTCGCTCGCATCCCGGTGCTCTCGCTTGCGCGGACCTGTACTTCCGCTGGTCGGTCCAATCGGCGCGAGCAGCATTGCCCGTTGACCGCGGGCCGGGCGAAAAACATTTGCAAGCGCGCCGATGCGCCTGTGCCGTGCCGAGGGTGTATAACCACTCCGCCGATGGGAAAACAAACCGCTCAGTTCGGTCCCAGGCGGGTCCGAAAAGAAGGGGTTATCCTCCCATCCCCCCTGGAAGAAGAGGGCAGGGGAGAGGGAAAAGAGCGGGGAGGAAGACAAGGAAGGGCAATGAGGGGGGGACGTAGGGGGGGCGAAGATGAGGATAGCGATGACGACGAGGATGGGGAGGGCGAATATGATGATGAGGACGAAGAGGGTATGCGAGGAGGAGGGGGAGGAGGGGGGGAGGAGGAGGAGGAGAGGAGGAGGGAGGAGGGAGGAGGAGGGAGGGAGGAGGAGGAAGAGATGAAAAGGAGGAGGAGGGGGAGGAGAGGAGGAGGAGGGGAGGACGAGGACGAGGACGAGGAGGAGGAAGGGGGAGAGGAGGAGGAAGAGGAGGGGGAGATCAGAGGGAAAGGCGAGACGAAGAAAGAAGTAGAGGAAGACGAGGAGGAGAATGACCGGGAGGGTGTGGGGGCGGAAGGTAGTATACGCCCTCAGTTCTGCCCTGGGGATAAACCGCTGAAAATGCTCATTGCCGCATCCGCCACAATCGATAGCGACGCCTCCGCTTCCACCGCAAACCCAGGTACAACATCCGCCGCTGCATAAGCCTCGTGACTCGGCTCCCCGTCTCCTCCTCCTCCTCCTCCTCCTCCTCCCTCCGCCTTCCTCCTTCCTCCTCCTCCTCCTTCTTCATTCTCCTCATTATCCTCCTCCCTCCCTCCTCCTCACTCCCTCCTCCTTCTTCCTCCTTCCTTCCTCCTCTCTCCTCCTTCCTCCCCCTCCTCTCTTCCTCTCCTCCTCCTACTCTTCCCCCTCCTCCTCATCCTCCCCTCCTTCTCCTCCTCCTCTGCCTCCTCTCCCCTCATGCGTCTCCCCCCTCTCATCACTGGCCCCTCATCCTGCATTCCTCCCCCTCCTCCCCACATCTCCACTCACCTTTTTTCCCCTCCCCGCCGCGGCGCCCCCCGCCCCCCCCGCTTGCCCCCTCCCACACTCTTCCGCCCATCGTGCCCCGCCCGGCCCTCTCCCCCTCCCTTTTCCTCCCTCCCACCCCGACTTCCCCGTCGCATTCGGGCGCCCCCATCATGCAGAGCCTCGATGTCATTGTGTTGCCGTGGCAGATTTTGCCCACATTCTTGAGCGTCCCCATGAAATCTTCATCTGCCCAAGTGGCCGTCCTCATAGGGTTGATGAGGGATTGTGCGGCATCCTCGCAAAGGTGCGAAAAATATGCCACCGCGCCCCGAGGCGCGAATGGGGGCGTGGTTTTCTAGTCCCCCCGAGTCGGACCCAGAAAGCCCCAAGACACCCTCTGCGGCCTGCAATGCGAGAGCCTCCCAAATCGTCGTCGTCGTCGTCGTCGTCGTCGTCGTCGTCGTCGTCGTCGTCGTCGTCGTCGTCGTCATCGTCGTCGTCGTCGTCATCGTCGTCGTCGTCGTCGTCGTCGTCGTCGTCGCCGTCGTCGTCGTCGTCGTCGTCGTCGTCGTCGTCGTCGTCGTGGTCGTGGTCGTGGTCGCGGTCGTGGTCGTGGTCGTGGTCGTGGTCGTGGTCGTGGTCGTCGTGGTCGTGGTCGTGGTCGTGGTCGTCGTGGTCGTGGTCGTCGTGGTCGTCGTCGTGGATTTCGTCGTCGTCGTCGTCGTCGTCGTCGTCGCCGCCGAGCCAGAGAACAACGGCAGCCATGGCGGCCCCCGGCTGAGAACGCCCGCGGCCCAAGAGGGCGCGGCCCAGGATAAAAGCATTCGCGTAGATCCCCATGCAGAAGAATATACCCCTTCCCCGAGCTGCCCGATTTCCCCGGGGACCCTCGGCGAGACCCCCGAGAAACCCCCGAAGGCCTCCCGCGCACCCCGCACCATTCGCAACAGGCCTCTGCCCGCGGAGGGGGGCGCGGAGTATGGTTGAGCCAAAGGCTGCAATATAATGGAGCTTTGGCCTGATCCGATACATGCGATCGGAGTTCGACTCGAAGTGCCCGGCCAAATGCACGTAAGACATGACGTGCATGTTACAATGATGCAGAAGCGACCGCCCTTCTCGCGTGGACCCGAAGTTCTTTCGGTTCAGTGATGTGGC